GCAGCTTATTCTTAAGTTGGTAAATCTTTTTATGAGTTATTTAAATAAAATATATTAGATACATGTATACATTCATTTATACATACATATGCACATGTACACATACACACATATTTTAGTTTTCATCAAGTAACACCACTTGGAATGACAATGCTGCCCATAAGAGTCATATATTATCAAATAAAACTCCCACTGCCAAGTCTGTCTAAGAGTTGTTTAAGGGACTCCAAAATGATATAACCCATTGCCATTGCCTTTGGTTGCCTCCCAGAACTTGAAGGTAAATCCTAGAGCTGAAGATACCACACACACACACAAGACTTGGAGGACTTGAGCTCAAATTATCTAGAAGCTTCCTCTCTGAGGACTGAAGACTGGCCCGCAGAGAGGGAAAGGTCTCTAGAGCTGTCCAGCAGACAATCCTACCTACCAAGCTTAAAATCCCATGGACCACAGCAACAATGAGCATGGCAAGACATCCCAAAGGGTACAATATTGACACAATTACTTTGGGGGTAACAACTAGTAGCTGTCTACGTGGACTTAAGGTTCACTTAATAGGAGGGCATTTATCCTTAGTAATGTAGAACTAGCCAACTATGTGTGACTTGTGAGGTCAGGGGCCCTAGAAGAATACTTACTGCTGCCGTTTCCTTAAACCATTACAATTTCTAACTACATTCTAAATACTTATCTTTATATCCCTAGGCAAATGTAACTTTCACCCCTCATCAAAGAAGTTTCTCTTTTCATATTGTGTAGACTATTATGGGAATCCACAACTAGTCAAAATGCAAAGAGCAACTGACTGTGAAGTGCCAAACCCCAGTTGACAAATCTACAATACAACTCTTACACCTTAGGTTCAGGGAAAATCCTGGAAGAAGAAATGTGAAGCCCGTAAGAGCTAGAGGATCAAGATGTTTGCTATAACACAGTGTCTTCTATATAGGGCAGGAAAACTGCACACCCCAAAAATCTAAACAATATGATACCTTAAATTATACTTGCATAATGATAACACCAGTTGGCAGTGCAACACGAAAGTGGAAATTTTCACAAGGCTTCACAGATGAAGACAGAAACTAATGGCTGCTGAGAAAAAGGAATTAGTTCTTTTTCCAGGGTGAGACCCCCGGTAGGTTATCCAATATCAAATGGTTATTCATAAAATATATGGACTCAGCAAGCTATGTTTACATACTCTCTCTCTCTCTCTCTCTCTCTCTCTCTCACACACACACACACACACACACACACACACACACACAGCAGTCATGAGTTTGGGAGAAAGTGGTGAGGACACAGGAGGGATTAGAAGAGAGAACTTTGTGGTGGAAATCATGTAACTACAGCCTGCATGTATGAAATTTTTATAAAATAAAACATTTAAATTAGATAGAAGCCTGAATACAGCCCAGAAGACATTCACATAATCCATGGCAGAGTTATTATTATTGTGGGGAATAAGGCATCATGTGCAATGTCTGCCCAAACTGGTGCTGGGAAAGCTGCCTTGCCTAAATTGCTCCCATTTTGTATAATCTCCAATGTTGAATTAGAAGTAGAGGACACCTTTGAGTTATACTGTACATTACACTGCGGAATAAAGATAGAGATGAGAATAAAGGATGTTTACCTGACTTTTAAAATGCGGAAGTTTCCACAAAAAAATACTGATCAGAAAAATTGAAAGCGGAATCAAACTTAAATTATAATTATAAGGTTTTTGGATTTGCTTTCTAGAGTATTGTTATGAAGATCCTTAGTAAGTTTGAGAGAGAAAAAATGTTCTCTTTGGCAGTGATTGGAGCATAGTAGATACTCCATAAGTATTCAAAGGGCAGGGGATGACATTTTTCTCTGTGTGTGCTTTTCCTGAGTTAGGGACTGAATACCGTGCCTTGTGTATGTAGAGGAAATGACATGACATTTGGAAGGACAGTGAAATACTTGCTTTGGAGGCCGAAGGGGAACTCCTTCAGTTCAACATTTTCTTTTCCTTTTTTTTTTTTCAATTCTGAAAGACATTTACAAAGTTGCTTTAGCCCTCAGTCCCAAGGGCAAGACAGAACTTAACTCCACAGATCAGTAATGTGACATGCAATTAATGCTCTATGAGCCGTTTGCCAGAATAGAGTTCGGTGGTCATCATTTAAAACACAGCAATGATAATTGCAATTGAGAGCTGATTTCTAGATTTGAGATTATACTTCATTTTTAAAGCACGATTGTGCTCATTTCTGAGTTCTTCTATAAGCTGACCATGCCTGTTCACAGGAACAGTATGGGAAAATGATTAATGTGGGCAACAAGTAATTAGGTAAACAATATATTTTTAATTTTTACATATTTGAAAATTTCATACATGAGTACAGTGTTTTTACATCATTTCCACCCTTTCTTCTCCTCCTCCCATTCCTTCCCCCAACACTCTCAGATCCATGGCTTCTATAGTTATTTTATGTATGTATGTGCACAAAACCTTCTGAGTCTGTTT